GTGCCATAAACCAGGATCAGCAACTTCTGTTGCCTGGTTCATACAGATAACTGATCACCTCAATATAAATGAACCCAAAGCACCATATTTTTCTCAACAGCCTTCTGGGTGTTGGAAGGAAACCTGGCTTAGATGCAGATACAAGCATTTGTTCTGAAATGGCCATTAAGGAAAAGCTGCCTAATAAACATCAAAAGTGTGGCAATTCCTGGAAAGAGAATTCCCATTCCTTCTCAAGGTACCAGCAATGTAACCCAGGAATTAGGTCTTTTACAAATAAAAAGATCTGGTTGTTTACTTGTAACTGTGGTCACTTCTGCGTTCACACACACAGCTTCGTCATTACATGGAAGTGTCATCAGGAGCCTTTAACACCAAGGATTTAGTGTTGTTGTTGAAGGCAGCCATTGTCTCCACATATTCCTGTGTGTGATTCTCACCTCCCCCCAGATGATCTTAAAACTGCCACAGATGCCAAGGAGAATTAGCCTCAGCCTGTAAAGGTAAGCATGAGGGGAAAGAGAGAGAGTTATGTGAACATTCAGATAACCAACCTGATACAGAGGGCAATCATGGTCTCTGTACATCACACAAGTGGATAGCACTTGTGTAAAAAAGTTTCCCATATACTACATCTGTTCTGCCTCAAAATTTATGTGGTAGTAATTAACTGAAGATGGCTGGCTGAGACAAGGCTGCAGTTTAAAGGAGAAATCTGTAAGAGGAAGCTGCTGCTCTCATGGAATGTGCTCTGACTCCCATAGGTGATGGTTTCCATGCTAGTTCATGGGAAGATACTATCACCATTGGGAACCATTCTGCAAATTGTTGGGTAATAAGAGGGAGGCTTGTATGGGAGCCAGCTGAGCAGAATCCTTCCTGTCCAGGAAGCTATGTGATCCACATAAAAGGTGAACACTCTTCAGGCATCAAACAAGTGGAGATGTAAATCAAAGATGGGAAGCAAATGTAACAAAAAGATTTTGTTAAATGTAACAAAAAGAAACTGATCTCACCGCAGATAGAAAAGTACTGTTTCGTTGTGACCTAAATCCTTGTGGAACATTAAGTAGAGGGAGGTCTACTTTAGAGGTCCTCTACATGACAAGCTAAAATTGTTGCCGAGTCTTACGTTGAGCAGGCAGTTACGTTGAGCATATCATCCCAATCAAATGGAAGGTCTGGTGTATACTCTGTTGACAGATGTACCAGATGGGAGATGGTGGTTGAGCAAAAACACACCTGATGTTGGAAGACAGGATTTTCATTAGCGTACAAGTTGCAGTTTGTCGTATGCTTTGCTGTTATCAGTCTGCTGATTCAATAAACGATAGTATGCCTTTGCAAAGAAATCAGCAGTTTTTCACTGCTGCCTTCTACTAATAGCGCCAGTATTGAGCAGCTCATGTCTGGCAATTCACAATATGAATGCATGCTGTCACTCCTTGTCCACAGGAGCAGAGTGTCTACACCCAGGATCTACTTTGAGCAGCTTCACAGTGGAGATTTGAAGTGCATGTTGGAAATTGCTGGCACCTTCCTGCACTTTCTATAGGTGCTTTGATGTTCATAAAGAATGTTGCTATGGTTCCTCTGCTGTCTTCAGAAGAGACAATAAAGCTGACATTCTTCCCAAAAGGATAGAACAAACCATTTTGAATATGATGCAACTAAAATGTTTGTTGGGCTTATAAATTGCTCCAATCAGTAGACAATAAAACTAGTCTCAAATTCAAAGCAAGGTGTTCCCAAAATCAAAACATTTTGCAACATATTTAGTATGAAGTATGTGAATAACTCTGGAAATAATTTGTGTTTGGGAATGAACAAATGATTTTCTGAGGAACAAGGCCTCCTTTTGGACCTAGCCCCGTTCCCAAGAGGACAATTTCCAAATCTAGCCATCAGATTCCTGATGTATTTGTGCAGTGATTTTTCTAATTTCTATTTTTTTTAAAAAAATAAACATTTAACTAATTTTCTAATGGCTACACAAGGGCGGGCTTGAGCTGGAATATAAAAAAGGATGCTGCTATTGTATTTTCTATCAAATGAACCAAGGGAGTTGGAACCATCAAGGAATGTGTCTTTCCAAATGCGTCTTCATTCTGCCCTTCTGCTTGAAGAAATAAAAGACTGACCAGATATTGTGGAAGATCTTCAAGGTGAAAAGATGCTGCTTTTATTTGTTTAAATTTATTGGCTGCCCAACTCCAGTGTTGGACCAATCAGATTCACAGGGTCTGAACCTTGGGCAACTAAGTAACTTAGAGGAGATAAATGGGAGCAAGAAAATTCAAGATGATCCCTGTTGGCACTGTCATTTATAACTAAAATGCAAATTTTAAATTAATTAAACTGACATTGCTAGTACTCTTTGATGTAGAACACTCCCAAGCATATGACACAAAAGGAATGCCCATTTGTGGGAAACAAATTCGTTCCACAACTATACAGTTCTAGAACAGCAATCATATGGCTCTAAATTTTGCTATCCATGGGAAGAGCAGGCCACCATACATCCTCCAAGCTCTCCTAAATGAAGAGAAACCTGGATTTAACAAAAGGAAAAGCTACTAAATGCAAAGTTTCTTCAGCCTCACTCCAAGGAGCATTTGATTAATGATGATGCTTACAATTGCAGTGAAAAAGATAAGGAGAGAAGTAGGAACTGCATCTAGGAAACAAGTCTTCAGCTCTGTAAAATTCCTCTGTGGGTATAGAATCCACCTATGTGGTACAATGGGGACTACAACCAATAATAATCTTTCAAATTAAAAACTAAAGTTATAAAAAAGCAGAAAAGAGCCACTGAAAATAAGCAATAAAGAATAGAATAGGATATTGAGCTTTATAATAAATCCACAATACAATTTTAATTTTTTTTTTAATTTATAGATCAAATGGCAGGGAGGGGGGTTAATGGGGGAAAAGAATTCTACAAGGTTCCACAATTAAAATATAACAGGGTGACCATTAATCAGACTAATAATCAAAATGGTAAGTCAGTACAGAGACAATTAAGAGGGAAGCAAGCTACTTCTTTTTAAAGGGGTTATAGTGGCTTTGGAAGGAATAAAGCTAGAGGAGGTAAGAAATGCTAACAGAAAACAGCCTACTAAATGCAGTTAGAATTAAGGTGAGGACAAAGTATTTTCTATGTTAGAAGCCTGGTTGAAGCAGTTTTGTGAAGGGTGAAAAAATACAATAAGAGAGGTAGAAAATTTTTATTCAGCACAGCACATCTCTGATTCTGCATGCAAAATAATGTACAATTATTATTTCCATACATCTTACAAAAGTAATCTGGCTTTACATGTTAATTATTTTTAGTCACATAGAATGTTATTAATACAAGAAACTGGCAATTACCTTCACTATCCTACAATCTTATGTTCATTTCAACCAAATTTTAAAGGCACTCAAACATGAGGAAGTTTTGCCAGCCCTACATTATTATGCCAACACACACTTCTGACTAGGGAAATTATTATGCCAACACATACTTCTGACTAGGGAAACTTTTTAAATGTTAAAAATTTCATTCTGGCAGAGCTTTGTTTTTGCTGCAACATCTTGCTCTCTCTCTACCTTTTCCTTTCCCAAATCAAAACACTGCTAAAGAGAACCACTGTGAGCAACAAAGTAAGAGATACTATGCAATTTTGCATTTTTTCCTAGTCATGAAATTTATAATTTTCTGAACAAAGAAGATTTATATGCCAGAAGAAATTGAAAATAATTATTTCGAACTCTGAGCTACTATTAGCAAAGACTGTTAGTCTTTCTTATTGGGGGAAGTGGCATCACTGGAATGGTATGCATACAGGTTTATTTTATGTAATCAATGAATATAGCCACCTTACTTGGCACACAACTCAGGGCAGCCTACATCACCAATAAAGAGTAAATTGAGTTAAAAATCTCCTCATCAAATGCACTTTGCAATAGAAAGCTTCATTGAAGAGGGAATGTAGAAGAAAGCAGTTATCTGGGACCAAAATGTTGGGTGGGGGTGTGCGGTCTGTGGAAGCTGATTACTGATAAAAGCATTCCAATGAACAGTAATGTTTGTGCTGATAGTTATTAAAGCTGTATTTCAAAGAATGTTCAAATTAATTTGTAATATTCCAATCTGCATGGATTATTGAAATCCAATTTTTTTCATCAGGCAGCTTCCACTGTCAAGAAAGTCCTCACCATAAGGTGAAGGGAGTTAAAAATTCCAGAATGTGAGCAGGCCTGGGCCAGAGCTTGATAAAAGGTATTGAAATAAGAGAAACCACATTTCTCTACATTTATGGGGCCTTGGCCAATATAGGCAGCAAACTGGCGATGAAAAATGAGAGTGACCCACACTGTACAACAATTCTCTGCTGATGACAGTATCCTGGACCCTGAGAGGCACATGCCACAAGCAACCAAGTCATTTTCTCCTGATGCTTGTCTAGTATCAGTGCACTTGCTCCTGCTGGTTGTGAGGCAAGGAAGAAGGTGGTTCCAGCAATGGGGCAGGTTGCAACTTCCCAAGTAGAGCTGCTGGCTCCTCTTCCACTGACTGACTGCCATAAGCACTGTCTTCCTTCAGCTCTGAGACAGAGAGAAAAGGTAATCACTATCTTTTACTGTTCCTGTTCACTTGTAGCTTTGCTCATACTCTGCATTGTTACCTGCACTTTGTAGCTTGTCAAAAGTCTCTGGTCTCTGTAGTAACCTCACGCCCTCTGTCAGTCCCATAGAGTCAAGTGCTTCCAACAGACCTTCAAGACTACCACCAGCAATCTGAGGAAAATCAGAAATTAAAGGGGAACTCAAGGAATGGGATGACAGTGGGAACATGTCAGGGAGGATTACTGACCTCATAGCTGAGTAGGAGTCTTCTGCTGGGGGAAACTGTGTCTTTGTACGTCTCCACTAAGCTGCAGAGACCTAATTTCTTGGCCAATTCTGCCCAATTTGCCCCTTGGCAGCCCTGGTTCAAGAGCTTCTCTAGACTCTGAAGAACATCATTACTCAGAAATAGGATGCTTCCTGATACAAAGAGAGATTGGAGGTGGAGAATGAGAAATACTTCCTATTTGAAAAAATCAGAAACACTGCTAGTTGCAATTTCCCATTTCTATGCAAGAGGATACAGTCAGGTCCAGAAATATTGGGACATCAACACAATTCTAACATCTTTGGCTCT